ATGGCAGGCAGTTCAAATCCACCAGCTACTCTGAAGGAGACTGATATGTAACCTCCGTTCAGGAGATTCACGGCCTTTGAAAAACTGCTGGAGGATTAGTGAGGAGTTGGTTCCAACTCAAATAGCACTCACTTTGTCAACTTGGAAGGTAGGAATCTAAACACATCAACTATTGACTCAAGTCTCCATGTAAACATGTGGGAGCTCTCTTTACTCTTCAGCTTTTTTACAAACCTAGATTGTTCTAACAAAGTATCTATTAATTTAAAAAAAAAAGAAGTAGAAAGAAATGCTCACTCAAAACTGGACTAACTAGTAAAACTGGAACTGTGAGGGGGAAAAAAGGTCAAAAAGATTACTGTGTATTTTTTCACATAATTATACACTTCACATCCTTTAACTGCTAACTGCAGAAAATGTAATTGAAGGACTGAAAGAAAATAGAACTAAAGTCTAACCACAAAGTAGGCCACGATGTTTAAAGACTGAAACAAAAAATCCAAGCCAAACCAATACACAGAACACCATACTCAGAACACCATACTCAGAACAACATACTCGGGCACTTTTCTTTCCTCTTCAACATGTAAGTGGCGTTTCAAATCTGCATCTTGTGATGGGGGAGGTGGGGGTTCAGTGCGAGATGCCTGGCTTTTGTGCAGGAGATCCTGGTTTGATTCTAGGCCCACGAGCCTCATACGCAGCCTCTACTCATACATCACAGAAGCCGGCATGTGGTTACTGTCCTGATGGAGCTTGTAGCCAGAGAGATGAGGAAAGGCCTGCAATCTACTGCTGAACAACGGGCAAAGGGAATTTGTGGATCCTCCTTTTCTGGTAAGGGAGCTCTGGTGGCCGAGTGGTAAGGAGTTGCTTTGGTAACCTGAAGGTACAGTTAAAGACAATTTCCTCCTACATGATTTACTGCCTCTGAAAACCTGCTGGAGGGTCTGCTATGGGGCAGTTCCAACTGGATGGTATATGACAACAACATGGTCTGGTTGTCAACTCTGCAGATGGTGCAGTAAATGTTCTGTCAACTCAATGTCAGCTGATCACATTCTGTATTAATCACGGCTGACCTCTTCATGTGAATATTCATGTGTGAGCACTTGGACACACACCTGGTTACACTGGAGCCCATGGCATGAATGTCTGTCCTCTCCGTGTGTGTGAGTGTGTGTGTGTGAGAGAGAGAGAGAGAGAGAGAGAGAGAGAGAAACAGAGACAGAGAGAATGTGTGCTGCAAGGTATTTAAAGGGCAGATGCAGAAGGTCACACAGTAAGGCCATGTGTCACCACAGGACCTGCTCAGTCCCAATGTGTCCTGCTCCTGGGATGACTACAAATAAAAACTGTAAAGTCACAGCCAGTGCTCCGAAACCAGGCTTCAGCTGTGACTTGCTTGGCCCTCAATGTGATATGAAGACACATTGGCCAGGAGTTGGTTCTCAGTAGAAACACCCACCCCGCACCTTTCCCACTAAAGGGAAATGGCCCGCTTTTTTATCCCCAGGAATCTCCTTCACCCTATCCCATCTGGAAGATGGGCCCCCAGCAGGAAACTAAGGAGCTAGGAAAATGTAGACAGGTGAATTTCCCAGAAGTTTAACAGCTAAATGAACAAAAGTGGAAGAGAAGATGAGAAGCTGCTAGACTGTAGAGCCATACCTACTACTTGGCAAGTTAATAAAAATGAAATAGAAAATTAAAATACCTGAAAAGGCAGGCAAACGCAATGAGGGCTTCTTACATTTCAAGTGTCTTTCTGGACATAAGAAGGTGGACCTGGCTGAAACAGAAAGGATGAACTGAAGAGGAAAGGCAGCCTCCTTCCACCACAGGGAACAGAAAAGGGCTGCAGAATAAACCCAAGTAAACGAAACTTCTCACAACAAAGACCAGTGATGTACGCAGTCAACTAATTAGAAAGTCTATTCATAATCCACCCTCTTGCTTATTCTCAATGTAAGGAAAACAAAAGCTTTCTCTCTCTCATGGGTTGAAGAAAAGCAGGTCTTTCCCAGCAAATAAAAGTAAATTCTGATTTTATATATTGCCAAAAAGCCAGGAAGATTTGATTCCAGGAATTTTTAAAACCCATTTGCTGTAGGACCTTCCATCCTATTTTCTTTTCCATCAGGTAATTTTATCAGCACCAAAATTGGAATCACTTTTTGATGATCTGTCTTCCTCTTACCAACACCTCTGAGACTGCTGCGTCCCTCCCGTCTTCGGGCACTGGCCAGGGACCGCCAGGCACCTGGCAAACCAAAATCAACGATTGTTTTGAAGTCAGTTCCAGCTCAGGACAATCCCATCACTGCAGAGAACGACACTCTGTTGGACGTTTGTGACTGTGATCTTTAGGAAGGGGACTCTGGCAGTGCATTCCAAGGCGAGCCGTGCTGCTAACCCAAAAGCTCTGCATCTCTGGGGGTTCAAATCCCCCAGCCACTCTGAGGGAGAAAGCGGAGCCACTTACAGCCTGAGAAACTCACGGGAGGCTCACCTGTGAGTGACTTTGAGCTTTTGGAAGCAGGTCACCAGGTCTTTCTTCTGAGGCACTCCTGGTAAATGCAAATCACCAAGCTTTCCATTAGTAGTAGGATGCTTAATTGGCTGCACCACCTGGAGCTCCCTCTGGTCCCCTTACACACTTAAAAATATTTCCTAAAACAAAGAAAATAAGGACTCCACGCATTAGACCAAACACATTACTGCTTTTAAATTGTGCTTTAATTTCTGCAATCAGATACGATGCAGTGAGAATCCAAGTATAAACTTTCACTGTACAACCAGAAAAGAAAAAGCACATTTATACAGATCTAGCCCAACAGCTTATTCCCTTGGGGGTGGAGAGGGAGGAAGGTTTTGATTTTCATTAAAGCTACTTTATCTTCAGTGTAAAAACTTGGAGGTATAAACAAACTTAAGATATATACAGTCAATTAATGTACATTGCCAAACTTGCACAGTGCATTTTAAACAAAGTCAATGGTCTCATTTCAGCTTCTGACGTCCCACATCACCCGCACCTCAATCTTGAATAGAAATTTCACTGTGTATAAACCCACTGAGAACTCTGTACACAAATACAAGTCATAGAAATCTAATTTCAAATATAAATATGTAAATTGCCATGACCATACATGTTTTAACAGTTTCCTTTATTTTCAATTGTTTCTTTTTTTAAAAAAAAAGCCTACAAAAATATTTCCAAGCACATTCAGCTGCTATGACAGTGGCCCGACTCTGTGCCTTTAAGCCACACTTGGTGGAGTAAAGCATCACGCCAGGCATTTTTGGAATGAAAAGGACTAAAGTCTGAAGACTGAAGAGGCTGCTGTATACGTAGTCATGTTATAATATGGTAACAAAAATAGTTAAGCTCCATCGTGTATCTAGGAGGCAGCGGGGGAGACCCTTGGGGTGGTTAGTGCTAGCTGAAGAAGGCCCAAGAACATATGTACAGGTTTCTAACCAACTAGTGTGTCTTTAAAATCCCTACTGCAAGGCTAACACAGACCTCACTAGTGAGGATGTTTAAGGCAACCAAGACTTAACCTGTTTGGCCCTCGGATGCTTGAATCCTGTTCAGGCGGAGTCTGAACAGTAAATCAATTTATGCACTCAAATCACATTCAGTGTAAACTCAGGAACTCAAGATCCCGTCAATGCTTTCAAGATCTCTCGCTTCCCTTGAAGCAACTGAGGCGTTTGGAGTTTTGCGTTGTTGTTTTTTTTTTGTTGTTGTTGTTGTTTTTTAACCAAACACTGGACATTCAAATTTGGATCTAGTGAGCACTTGACAGAAAAGGCAAACATGCCATTTGAAATAGTCCAGCATGATATTTCCCCCTTCCTTTGGGAGGAATGTGACAGGGTTCCACTAAGAATGAAAAGATAAAATCAGTCCTTGCAAGATGTGCTTTCCTGCATTAAAAGAAAACCCCCAAAGCTATGGTTTTGACAGCAGGTCCAAGCATGTGCTCAGGTGTGATCAAGTTTCTTCTATGGCTTCTGGAATCACTGAGGTACGTTAGGAGAGCCACCACTTCTGGCATCTCTATGTGACCGCTTTCCCGGGAAAGCCACATTCAAGAGTGGTTGCACCACTTGTGTCTGGGAACGGAGCAGGCCCACTGCTGGCCTGGCCTTAGAGAAAGGCAAAGCGATTCATTTCTGATACTGAGAGGCTCCGGAGGAAATGTGAGGCCCCGAGGCAGGAACGGAGAGGTCCTCCCAGCTGAGCAATAATACATTTAGCAGCAAGAAACCTGCACTTTGTGCACCAGGCAGGGAGTGTGGAGGGTCAGGCCCAAAGCAGTGAGGGGCCAGCTGTGTGGTGGGCCAGCCCACCACTGACACACAGCGTGACAGTCTAGAAAGGGGGGGTCTGACGTGGAACAGCAGACACTGGTCAGCTCCCCTCAGCTTTCCTAGAGGCAAGTGGCTGAAGACAGGAAGGATGTTATGAATACTTGGCTTGAGCAAAAGTCACCCATACTGTGACCTCCATTTTGACTCATTCAATTCACCATACACAGATCACGTATGGCTGGTGTTTAGCCGAGCTGGTCACAGAGAAACTTACTCTTCCCAATAGATGAATATGTTTTCTTGGCACAGAAAAAGTCCGAGGAAAGGACCACATTGTACTGAGCCCTTTTTTAGTGGCAAACCTGCCATCGCAGGTTCTGAGTAATAATACTTGGGCATCTGAAAACGGCCACAATTCTGCTCTGGGTCAAGCAGGAACTGCTTTCAATCAATAATACTAGACACGTGGTTTGAATTGCATAGTCTTTCAAGACCGTGAAGAAAGGTGAGACCAGCTCTTTTCCTGAGGGCCTGGGCTTCCGCCATCATAGCCCGGCAAGGGGCGATCTCTGTCCCACTAGAAGCTCCAGCGTGACACCAAAGCAGAGGCCAAATGTGCTCATCTCCTGTCCCAACCTCCAACCTTCCTTTTCCAGAACAACAGGAAAAAAACCAGGTCAGACATCCCCAAGGTCCACAAACTCGTCTTCTCGTTTGGCCAAATCTTCTTCATCGCCCAGAGCTTTCCAGCCGCTGGTGGGTAAGACGGGCTTGGAGGACTGGCGCTGGAGCAGCGCGAAGGGGAACAGGGAGGACAGACGGGCCGAGTTCCTCAGCAGGGAGGGCGCCTCGGCCTGGAGGGCACCCTGGCGGTGCTCGATTTTCTCCTGTAAGCTCTGCACTTCCTCCACCATTTCCAAGAGTTTGCGCATAGTGGCCACCCGGCCGCCACCCAGGATCTGGGCTTCCGGAATCCAGCGCAGGTACCTCTGAGCCCAGACTTTGATCTCGGGCCCCTCTATGTGGGGCAGCAGCAGGCCGTGGTAGTCGGTGGGCTTGCTGTGCCAGCTCTCATAGAACTCTCGAGAGTTGTCCTGGAGCTCATCAGAAGAATTGATAAGCTTGCTAATCCTCTTGCCCAGGAGGTTTTTAATTAAATGATCTGTTTCTTCCCTGAAAAATCCTCTCTTGGGAGATGATTTTGACTGGGTGAGTGGCAGAGAAAGTTGTCGTTGATGCTTTGAGAGAAAACAGACACACACAGATACAAAATCTCTGGTTAATATAACAAAGACAGTTAAGAGTATTGACTGTCAGGATAAAAAGGGCATAGCTGGTTTCCCCACTCCCACAGAGATACATTTATCCATTCACTCCACACCATTCTCTGAGCAGCTATTTTACATGAAAGGTCGTGTACTACCCAGGATTACAGACAGGTCGGAAATCCAGATCTGTTTCCAGCTGGTTTTGGTACCACTGCTTGTTGGTTAAGGAGAACAAGGAAGACAGGGTGGGGTGGGGGTGGAGGGAAGTGGGGAGGAAGGAGCCCTCAAGGTCAAATACGGGTTCTAGACTTGGCTCATATGGTCTGGAAGCTGGGTAACCAATTTAACAAAGATCAAAGAGACATCAGAATGGTGATGGGAACTAATGTGAAGGAAAATGTGTTAACATTCTGTTACACACGACAAGGGAGTTTCCTTTTCTTTCTTGTGGCATAAACGCTGTGCCAACACTGCATCTGTGCACACACCTGGGGAGACTCGAGTGCACACGGGAGCCCTGAGAGGCACGCTCTTACACAAGGGGTTAAGCCCTGCATGCTCCATTCCCTGGCATTTCACTGCGGGCAGCTGCGGCTAGCAGAGAACTGCCCCAGAAGCCGGTCCTGAACCTCAGACCTTCTGGTTAGCAGGGCCCCTCTTCCCTTGTAAAGACCAACACAAACCCCACTGCCGTCGAGCTGATTCCACAGAACGCAACTCTTTCAGGGAGGCAATTGCCTAGTTCTCCAAGAAGCAACTGATGGATTCAAATGAACGACCCTTCAGCTGGCAGTGTGACCAGTAACACATGATGTCTCAGGGGCTCCTTCTCCTTTCAAGTCAACCATGAGCCAGAGATCACACCAACAAGAGACTGAAGCCCTGCCGTCTGTGGCCTCCTCACACATACACAGAGTACTATTAAAGAGCAAGTTTAACTTCTGGTTAGCAGCACAGCATTCAACGGACCTTCAAGAGCACCTTCAAGTTTAACTTACAATAGGCTGATGGCTAAGGGGAGTTTGGGGTGTGACACCTATTTAGTTTCAGAAAGAAGTGAAATAATTTTCTTCAGAAAATTTTAGCGCTTGTTGGCTTCTACAATATTCTGAACGCCTGCACAGAAGTGGTGATGACTCATCTTCATGAAAGAACTCTGTGATTACCAGCTACCCTATGGGAGTCTAAAGTCTAAAATATAGTCTGTGGGGAAAAGAGCACAGAGGTGGATGGGAGTAAAGAGAACACGAGGAACCGTTAACAAGTTGGCAGGACAGCCCTGTGTGACACGTTGCATTGGGTGGGAAACATGAATGCTGTTATTTTCCCAAGTAATTGTCTGTGCTGCTAAAGCAAGGCACTGTATTCTGGGGTGCACACTGAATGGGTTGCCAAGACAAGCGAAATGTCTAGAGGTTGGGGGGTGCTCACGAGAGCCCAAAGGAGAAAGCAAAAAATTGTGGGTTAGAGTAGCTTCTTCTCTGTTTTATATTGCTCCTGGGATGTTCGTTCACGAGGACAAACTTTAGAGGCTCTCTTAAGAGATTTGTCAGTGGCTCGCTCTTTGTCAAGGACAGTATTCTTTACTATAAAGGAAGCATTTCCTTATTCTAGAATAGAGAATAATAAAAAAAGGAAGAAGGCCAAAGCACCCCAGCACCATGACTCAGGGATTTTGGGGTGTCTGACCCCCATTCTGGGACAGGAGAGGAGGGCAATGGTCAGCTGGCCTCTCTTCTAAACAGGATGGCGTGGAGCCAGACAGGGCAGGAGGACAAGAGGACAGGAGTACGACTGAAAACTACCCACCACGAGTGCTCACTAGTTCTCACACAATCCCCTGAGGTAGAAACCATTACCACCTCCCGTTAGGAAGAAGGACAGGAAGCACAGAGCCAGAAAGGATCAGCTACCAAGTGCCCACGACAGCTTCAAACAGTCTGGCTCCAGCTCCATGCTCAGTCTTGTATGGGGCTACTCAGTGAGTGGAACACTCCAGATGGACTCAAGTGAGAGAAATATTATGTTCCCATGGCCTGATCAAGGCAGAGGCTGGAGCGAAGGTCACACACCTGAGGAAAATCCAAATTCCTATGTGCAATTCACAGGTGGTTATTTCCAGCCGCTCAGTCACAGGTTCTTCAGTCTCTACAGACCTTCTCCAAGGACATCTGCCACTCCACATGGTGGCCCAACGCTGACATCGGGTCATTTTACCCAAAGGCTTCTACGGTTCTCATTGGCCAAGCCTCTACCCTGCTTTACCAAGTACAAACTGAAGTTCCCTCTCAGCCCTTGGGTCCCCACACCTCTCTCCAGCCTGCTCTGAACCCCAGCTACAAGGGTGAGAGACACACGAAAACTGGACTTAGGAAGGGAAATTAAACTCCTCTCAGAAGGCACAGTCTCAGTCTGTGAGCTGCCAGCTCAGCCGTGAGCAGTTTGTCAGCCGAGCCAGGAGGTGAACAGACATGTGTGCAGCCACCAGGGGGCACAGCACGCTGACAAAGAACGGGGCTCGGCTGATTGTCCAGCTGACTGTCCACAGCTCCAGGCCAGGCTGCTGAGCCAGTAAGGACCCCAAAAGGGGAGAGGGGCAGTACTTCTCTGTCTGGCAGCTTGCTGGCTTTAGCTCATGGAAGTCCCCAGTCCACTTCAGGAAGGAACTAACTCACACCCCAAAAACCACCTGGCTCCTTGGAATTCCACAAGTCCAGGCAGCCAGAGGCAAGGTGGGGTGTGGGGGGGTGAAGGGAGCCACACATCCTGACATGGACCTGACCACACTGCTTTCTCCTGTCTGTGGGGCCTCCAGGAGTCAGAGTGAAGAAATGCCATGTAAACAGTTTATCATGCAGGGAAGTTTAGGGTTTTAATAACCAGTTAAGTCAGGGACAAAGATCTGAAGGAAAGCCCAGCGCAGGCCAGCAAGCTCCAGTCTGCGGGCCAAATCTGGCCTGCTGCTTGTTTTCGTAAATAAGGTTCCACTGGAAGCCAGCATCCACACTGGCTTACGTATCTGTCTGTGACAGCCTGGGTGTTGCACGGTGGAGAGAAGGTGAGACAGAGACTACACAGCCCTTTACAAAGTGTGCAACCTCTGCTGACAATTACACCTAATTAAGAAGAGCCACACTGTTTAAGAGTGTGTCTACTGGGCAAAACTGCGCTCTCACGTCTTTCCGGTCCACTAGGGAGCTATAGTGGCTTAATGGTAAGGAGGTGCACTGGCAACCACAAGGTTTGAATCACCAGCTACTCCACAGGAAAAGGATGAACAATCATCTTGTCCTGTGCGACTAACTGCCTCTGAAAATTGTGCTTGATGGTCAGCTATGGGTCAGTTCCAATTCAACAGTACGAACAAGAGGCACACATACTGCTATCCCAAAGGTATGCGGTTCAAATCCACCAGATGCTCTGCTGGAGGAGGGGTAATCTCCTCCTTTACCAGTCAGATCTGATTTGACGGCACACACACACACGGCACACATGGGGTGGGAGACACACGATTCCACTCAGCACAACTACTGGGGCGGCCTCCCCTGTGACGTGAAACAAATGGACTCAACCCCATCAGGACAAAAGCAGATGTGCAGAAAGCCAAGGCCTGATAAACTCCGAATGTGCCCGTCACAAATGCCAGCATGCAGGCCACGAGGAGGAGGAGGAGGAGGAGAGCCAACAGACAAAGCCCAGTGCTGACACGGATCTGGACATACATGGGGTCCCCAGGCAGGTGACATCTTACTTTAAAACGCATTCCTTTCCGCTGGCTTTTGTCCAGTCGGGGCTTCTCCACGTAGAGCGGGTTTTTGAGCAACATCTGGGCTTTGGGTTCAAACTGCACCGCCCAGTCCCACACAGTGGGCAGAGCCGGCGGCTTGCTCTGCAGCTCCTGGCATTCCCTGCCCTGTCAAAACAAGCACTGGTCACAGCGGCCCGGGAGGACAGGGGACAGCAAACACGCACCCAAAGGCGGGCGCTGCATTTTTAGTGGGCACTGTGGCCAGCAGCTGCTCACTCGGGGCTTTAGATGTGAGTGGGCAGGGGTGGAGGGAGAGGAGGATGACTTCCTGTTTATAGCTGACCATTGGCCGAGCAGGGTGCTGGGCACTTTCACAAGAACTCTGTGAGGTGGGGTTATTTTCCTAGTTCTACATTTTTTGAGGAAACTGGTCCTCAGAAGACAGAGCTGGAGAGTGGACCAGCTACTCCCGGAGAGCCGGGCTGGCTGCTTGGGAGCTGTCTCCACCTCACAGAGGAATATGGCAAACTCCCGGCTGGAGGGTCGGCTCAGCAAACCCAGGGGCTGCAGGAGGCAGGTCAGGGGACCAGGGCCCCCACATAGCAAAACCTGGAGCACAGCCTCGTGAGAGACCAACACCGCTTAACACGGACAGCACTTAGCTTTCCTGTCTGGCCTCTCTGTTCCCTTCAGCAGAACTCCGGGCTCCACTCAAAGGGCAGAGAAGACATCTGGTCGGAACTGTCTTTAAAAAGAACAACTCTGGTGCAACTGTGAAGGAATTTCTTTTTTCTTTCTTTTTTTTTTAAAGGGAACTGAGAGAAGGATAAGTGAGGGAAAGGGGTAAATGTGTAACAATGAATGAATGAAAATCTAACTTTTCTGTAAATTTTCACTAAAATCACAATACAAATAAAAACATTTATTTCTTTTTTTAAAAGGACAACTCTGAATTTTGCTTAATTCTCCAGCTCTAATGCTTACGCCCAGCTGCAGTATTTGGGGCCAGTTACTACTCTCTCTGTGCCTCAGTTTCCCCAGGAATTATAATACAGTCCCTGTGATAAGCGGTCAGTGCCCAGTAAGTGTCATTTTGATCACTGAGGGGACCTCCAGCCTCCATTAGACACAGCGGCACGCACAGGTGCCCGGGAGGAATTCTTACCACGTTGGAATCTTTTTGATGAGGTGAGTTGAAGAAGAAGGTGCTGAAAATGGGTATGTACAGGCTGTCTGACAGGACAGTCAGGTAAGTCTCCGTGAACTCAAAGGCTGGGGGGTGCTGGTGCACCAGCTGCCACACACAATCCAGGAAGAGCAAGAACACAGGAACCTGTAAAAGAACAAGGGCAGTCGGTGCTCAGCAGGCAGAGCTCCCAGCCCGGGACTCGGGAGAGACAGCTCCGTGCAATCACCCACTCCCACATCTCGGCACCCCACACAGCACCCACGGAAGTCTTTATAATCAGTTTGAATCACGGATTGTTATCGTTATTATTATGATTTTTGTGTGCTGTTGAGTCAGAACCGACCTACAGCAGATCCTCCCTCAGGTTTTCAAAGGCAGTAAATCGCACAAGAGGAGATGGCCCATCCTTTTCCCATACAGCAGCTGGTGGATTTGAACCATGTACCTCTGGGAATGCAGTGCACTGGGCCACTAGCCCCCTCAAAATCTGACCTTGATGAGGTGCCGTCTAGCCGACTACAACACACAGCAACCCTATAAACAACAGATCTGAACCTTGCCCTCTCCTGTGCCATCCCCGCCGTCTCTGATGTGCTCCAGGCCAGTGTCCCAGGCACTGTGTCAATCCACCTTGCTGAGGGTCTTCCCCTCTTTCTCTGATCCTCCACTTTCCCAGCATGATGTAATTTCCCAAGGACTGGTCCTCTGCCAACAACATGGCGAAAATATGTGACATGAATGGTAGAATAAGATGTGATAAATATAGTTGTATATTGTCTAAGAGCCACCTGCTCCAAGTCATGGTATTTTCAACTGCTTCCTATGAATCTGAAAATTGGACAAGGAACAATGAAGAGTACTGCACATACTATGGACTGCAAAAAGAACAAACACATTTATCCTGAAGGCAGTGAAACCAGAGCACTCCTTAGAGGCAAGGATGGTGAAACTTGGTCTCACTTACTGTGGGCATATTCTCAGGAGGAACCAATCTTTAAAGAGTAACATCAGGCTGGGAATGGTGCAGGGTCAGAAAAAGAGAGGAAGAACCCTCAACAGGATAGCCTCACACAGGGACTCCCACAATGGACTTGAACATGCCAGAGATCTCGAGGATGGTGCGGTGTAGGGTAAGGGTCAGATCTGTGCTGTCAGGGTTCCTATGAGTCATAGCTGACTCAGTGGTACCTAACAAAAACAACAAAAGCATAGCTGTAAATACAGTTGCTAGATGCTGTATTTCTTAGCTTATGTGGATACAAAAATACGGTTGTGTAAAATTTTTCTACATTGACGTACAGCAGTATTACAATACTCTTAGTAACTGCGAGAAAGCTTTTCCAATTTGGCCCTTTTTCTCAATAACCTCTTCATCGTCAAAGAAGTTATTGATAGTGATTCACAAATACCAGTTAGCACAACAGGGTAGTTAAAACACCGGAGAATTCCACAAAACCAGCAAGTACAATTTTTTTTTAAAAAAAAATAAATACATCTGTGGCAATGAAAAGAACAGCACATGCTTGTAAACAAAACCACTTGATTAGAAGTGTCACTGTAACTTGCAAATTACTTTATAAAATTTATAAAAATAATATAAAATGTAAAAATTTATAAAAATATATTAGTGTTGTTGCTGTGTGCTGCTGAGTCAGAACCAACACTCAGCTGACCCTCCAGTGGGTTTTCAGAGCTTATAAATCCCACAGAATGTCCACCTTTCTCCCTCGGAGCTGCTTGTGGATTTGAACCCTGTGCCTTTGGATTGTCAGTGCAAGTCCTTACCCATTAGAACACTAGAGCTCCCTAAGTATAAATTAACAGAGTTTTATCTTGTGGGTTTACTGGGTTAAGAAAATTATTTTAGTTGTTATAACAAGGATTTTTTTTAAAGTAATAAATTTCTATACAAACAGCACATAAATAACACAGGCATTTTGGTGTCATCCCCTCTGACAGCGTCACTATCTCAAGAGATATGGAAGAACCACCTCTGAGCACTACAGTCCTGGGATACACCGTACTTTGCAGGTCTGTCAGCATAAGTCAGGGGTTCAAATCCCTCCTCTCCATTCCAAGCGATGCAGGAACTCAACTGAAAACCCATACTTCTGGATTCCCAGTATCTAGTAGAACCTTTCTGTGTGAAAAGAGATTTTGAGATATTAAGTGTGTAAAAGCTTCATTTCAGGACTGTATTAACAGATGAATATTTGCAACTGGCATTGAAGACGGCAGCACTAACTCTGAACTCCAATTAGGCAAAATGCTATCTTCCAATAAAAAGAACTCCATTCTTCTCAATCACTAACCAATACAAACACGTACAACAAATACTCAGGTTTGATTGCTCCTTTGAATTCTGTTGGCACAAAACTGCATGTGCTGTGCGGGACTCTACTCACCACCTGTCCACCCACATTAGTGTGGGGGGCTGGGCCTGAAGGGTGTGCTGGAATAAGAACCCTTCTTTATCCCCCTAAAGATTTACTTATTTGCACATGTTCATTTTCATTCAGACTACTAGAGTGAGTATTTCTGTTGTATATGCTGCTAAAGTGAGATATGAATGAGTAGCCTTTTGGCAACACTCCCTGACAAGTCTCAAGAAAAGAACTGGACAAAAAAGGGCAAAAACAAGCTTTTCCCATTAAACTGTAACTGTCTGACCTATGGGGCTTACTTCACAGCTACGTAGAGCGAAGCCCTTCGGGCTTACAAAGCGCTCATCCCGACTCACCATGAGCCCCTCAGTGGGCAGCCCCTGGGCAGCCAGGCCCTGCATTACAGCTTGTCCCTGACAGACAAGGAAACCAAAGACTAGGCTGTGAGAGGCCGGCCGCGAGTCTCACACAGCTCTGAGGGAACAGGGATGGGCGCCCAGCTCTTGACCCAAGGTCCAGCACAGCTTCAACTAGACCACAGGGCACAGCAGTCAATGTGTTGGCACTGAGACACCCAGTGGTTGTGGTTAGGTGCCACTGAGCCGAGTTCAACTCATAGTGACCCTAAGAACACCAGCTCTGAACCCTGGCCTATCCTGTGTCATCCCTGAGGCTCTTCCTTGGAGAGGGACTTCAGGACTGGAAAAGTGGAAGGATGGCAAAAGAGAGGAAGTCCCTCAACCACGTGGACACAATGACTGCAGCAATGGGTTCAAGTGTATCAGAGACTGTGGGACACCCAGAAGACATGCTTAATGACAACTCTGCCACGCTGCATTCTATGCTCAACATCATCAGTGTGAGGGAAAATCTGCGCCTCATGGTACCCTCAAGGAAACAGACTGAGAATATGAATGATTTGTCTAGGGGCTGGCTGGGCAGCAGCTCAGATCTTCTCTACGAGGTGTGGCGCCTGGCCCTCCCCTTCTTGTCAAAATCTGCAAAAACATACTCTTCTCCAAGAAGCATCAAAGCTTTCTGCCCATCATGCCGCCTAAATCCCATCGGCATTAGAAGCAGGTTTCTGGAAAGGAAAGTCCATCCCAAGACAGGAAGAAGAGGTTTCCATTCAGAGTGATGGGACATAACCTGGATTGAAAAGACGCTGACAGGAGACACCGCACCCTCAAAGTTTCCTGGCTCTGTACCCCCACAACATACAGCACCAAGCTGTGTTACACATGCGGGGGTCTCCCAGGAACACATCACACCCTCGTAAGTCCCTGGCTCTGTATTCCTGCGGCATGCAGTACCAAGCTGTGTATTACAGAGGCCACGGCCTCCACAGGAGCGTACCACACCCTCGCAGGTCCCTGGTTCTGTACCCTCATAGCATGCAGCACCAAGCTGTGTTAAAGATGCCAGGGTCTCCCCAGGAGCAGTCCACACTCTTGAAGGTCCCTGGCTCTGTACCCCACAATGTGCAGTACCAAGCTGTGTTACAGACGTCAGGGTCTCCCCAGGAGCACACCACACCCCAGCTCTGTATTCCTGCAGTATGCAGCACCAAGCTGTGTTACAGACAGACCTGCTTATTATCTGCAGTCAGGAAAACCATGAGCTACACCAATAACAGACGTTAGCACTCCAGGTGATTTCATTAAAGAAAGCTCATCTGCTTTCATTTTCCTAACATGGTCATCAATAATGCGGTCTAGACAAGCACACTGTGATTTAGGGAGCTCATCCTCCACCACAGCACTGAACTTGGGAAAACACCTAGTCTGAGTGATAAACATATAACCAGGAGGTAAAGGGAGTGCTGAGGCACAGCCCCACAGACATTCCCGGAAGCCACTGTAACACAGTCAACACGACACTGTCGCTAGGTTCAACTACAACTCCTGGCGACCCTATGAACAGACAGGAACCATGCTCGATCCTGCGCTACCCACACCATCTCCCAGAGTCAACAAGCGATCTGCTTTATTTTAAACAGGCCTCATACACTTTGGACATGTGGTGAGGAGGTGTTATTCCTTGGAGAGGGACATGATCCTATGAAGGATGGAGGGCTGAAGAAAGAGAGGAAGACCCTTCCTTGACCAGGTGGATTGACACGGCGACTGCTGCAATGGGCTCTTGTGTGTCAGGGAGTATGAGGATGGAGCAGGATAGAACAGGGATCAGATATTTCATTCACAGGGTCGCTATGACTTGTACTTAACTTGGCAACATCTATCAACAACAACAACATGTACAAGGAAAATTTACTCCATGATAGTACGGAATGCATCTTCTTCAGAAAGGTGAAACTGAATATCCATTTTTTTTTTTTTTTGGCAAAGACTAACTTAGTGGAAATTGTAGGTGTCACTCAATTATGTTTTCCCAGCAAGTAACACTCCCACTGCAAACATACTTACCGTCTCCGTGTGCACAGCAGGTGAATGACGAGGCGCTGGGCAAGGGGGTACCACCTTTCCTTTGGGAAGGGCTGCAGCATTGCTCAGAGCACTCACGTCAACACAAACAAGGAGTCAACAGTTTTCCCATCAGCCCACCGTCTAGGGGGCTCCGTTTTCGTGGCAGCCCTCCCTGTGAGAGCGGCACCTGAGTGGTTCTCCCAACTCACAGGCTGCCGCAGGAAACTCACCTCCTCTTTGTCGCTCTGGCGAAGGTGGTTGCAGCGGTCCAAGAAGCAGTGGCCGCCCATGACCCACTCCTTCTGGATGAGGCTCTGAAAGCCCAGCGTGGTCCGGCAGTGCGGGTCCATCATCACCTGCACCAACGATGAGATGACGCAGCAGAGGTCGGAGGCAGTGTCCTCTGGGCAGGGCCAGCGGCAGAGCAAAGAGGAAAGAGGCGCAGACACAGCATTAGATGGCCGCACAGAGCCCTCACTTCTGGGTCACACCAGGGGCCCCCCACCATCTGCTCTCTAAAAGGCAAGGGCCAGTGGAAAAGTGGCGACATCAGACATAGGTAAAGGGCTGTGAGCCTGTCTTCTATTCCTTCTGGCACATGCTAGAGCAAGATATATCTACCATCTAATAAACAGAGGCAACTCTGCTAATCCATGTCAGCACGTGGGGGCGTTTAGACATGCCACACAGCAAGGGCCAAGTCATACACAGTGATGAGCTGACTAGAAGCCACCGTTTGAACAGTAACACTGGGAGGTACTTACTCCTGAGAACAATCAGCCGTTCAAGATCATATGGGCAGTATATAGATGCTTTGGTTTGGGTAAAAGTTTACAACTCATTTTAGTTTTTCATGCAATCATTCAGACATTTTGTTTGAGAATATTAATTACTTTCTTTTTTTTTTAGTCTGGGCAACAGCCCCAGGCAAGTAAGAGAATATTAATTACTACTGATGAATAGAAATAAGGTCTAATTAACCCTAAGGAACTATTTGCTTAGGGAGAACGCTCAGAAGGCAGGCTGTTATACGAGGGTGAAGAGGAATGAGAATCAGAGGGAGGAAGGGGGAAGAGGGCTGTCACGTGGCGACTGCAATTAATGATAGACTCTATGGAAGGACCTGAATGCAAAACCAATTGCTCTAGAAACTTTCACACAAAGTAAAATAAAAAGTAAGGCAAAATAAAACCCACCCTCTTGGTCTATCTTTGACCTCAGTGCTCTGACGTTCACCTTAGAACTTCTTTTCCTTCTAGTTTCCCCACTAATTCTGCTGGTGGCCTAGTGGCAAAGGAATTGAGTTATAAACCCAAAGATCCACAGTTCAAATCCAACAGCGGCTCCACGGGACAAAGATCAGCAATCTTTTCCTGTGCAATTTACTGCCTCTGAAAACCCACTGGAGGATCAGCTATGGGTCAGTTCTGACTCAATGGTACAGAACAAAAACAATCCTGCTCTGGAGAAAGTTGGATATTTGGTGGCTGTACGGAACGACAAAGCAAAATATTACAATGAAATGGGCGAGGAGCTACAGTCAGAAAATCAAAAGGGCCGAACTCGCTCAGCATTTCTTAAGCTCAAGGAACTGAAGAACAAATTCAAACCTAGAGTTGCTGTAATCAA